ACATCTTAGGTACTTAGGTTGTTGAGTCTTTGTTATGTGTTATTCATTGTAATTCGTATTTAGCTTTCTTAGAAACGTTATCTTCGGAACAAACCAAAATTCGTAAACTTCTGAGTTTATGTTGTGACTAGAGATAGTCATAAGCAAATGCCTTTGTAACCGTAGTGTGACAAAGTGGCTTATGCTGGAAACATCACAAGTTAGTCAAAGCCTTTTTAACCGTAGTGTGACAAAGTGGCTTGTGGTGGAAATACCAGAAGTTAGTCAAATTCTTTGTAACTAGGATAGTTATAGAGTGGCTTGTGATGAGAGCATCACAAGTTAGTTGAAGTCTTTGCAATAGGGTTATTGTAAAGTGGCTTGTAATGGGGAGATTGCAAGTTAGTGAAGTTAAAAGTCTACATGTATAGGTCGTGGTTTTTTGATCCCCTTGTGTGAGATTTTTCCACGTAAAAATCCTTGGCCTTGTTTACATACAGCTTTACTAGCATTCACAACAGAACCCCACAAAGGACCAGGTACTCTGCTATTTGGTGGGCTCACACAAACTTAGCACTGTACCAAACTGATAAAGGACCAGATATCTATACAGTTTGGTTCATCAGTATTTTCAAAGGAAACACATAGAGAACCCGGTTCTCTATACAGTCTGGTGGACGGATAGTCTCTAACATTGTGGATATCCCATTATCTTATAGCATCCTTCTTTAGTGTGACCTTTCATCTTGCAGAAATCACACTGTAGGTTCCAGTTTTTCTTTGGCTTTTGATAGTTCTGAGAGCCAACTGCTTTTCCAGCTAACAGAGCTGCTGGTTCACTTCCAATCATAAAAGAATTCACAACTGATCTTTGACTCTCTCTTTCTACAAGCATTGGATATGCCTTGTTTATACTTGGTGTAGGGCTAGTCATTAAAATCTGACTTCTAGCTTGTTCACAACTTTCATTTAATCCTAACAGAAATTGCAAAGCCTTTTATTTTTCCATGAATTCTATAAACCTTTTCGACTTAGCACAATCATATGGTGGTGGAATCATGTTATCAAACTCATCTCGTAGGTTCTTAAGTTTTGAGAAATATACTGACATAGTATCATTTCCTTGTGTAATTGTTACTATTGCTTTGTGCAATTGATACACTCGTGAAGTATTTACCTTATCAAACCTTTCTCTCAGATATTCCCAAACTGCCCTAGCATTCTTCGCATATACTATCACTGTTATCAAATCCCTCGATACTGAGCTCATAATCAACCCTAGAACCATTGCATTACATCGACCCTACTAGTGACCTAGCTATGTATCAAAATCCCCCTTTTGTAGAGTTCCGTCGACTAACCCTAACTTATTTTTTTCAAGCAGTTGGATTTCCATCGCTCGACTCCAGGTGGTATAATTCTCCGAGCCAGTCAATTGAATTGATATTATTGGAGCTCCAGTTGTGTCCGAAGGATGAAGGAACAGTGGATGATTGTGATCCAAATCTATTTTCGCCATTGTTGAATTTTTCAATTCAACAACTCAATTGAAAATCGAAAGGAGTAATTGAAGCAAAGTCTTCTTAGAATCTACAAAATTAACTCGAAAATGCAGTTGATTGCTCTGATACCATGTGAAGATTTGAGGCTAAACTGAAACTTCCATTTGAGGCGAAAGAGTAGAGAAGAGAGCTTTCGAGAGAGTAAAATGTGTTAAAAAAAACTTTACATCTTAGCTGCATTTATATACAGTAAAAACTAACTCTAACTAATTCTTATGACAACTGTCATCTTGCGGTCAAACTAACTATTACTAACCAACTTAATTAAGACAAATAATAACTCTTTCTTCTTCTACATAGTACAAATCACGTGACTACTATTTCCACAAAAAAGTGTATCTTTTTTTGTGATTTGCGCGCTGTCCATTTTTTCTTAGTGATTAAAACCCTAACCTCTTTATTTTTTTGTAAAACAATTAAAGCACAATTTGTATAAAATTACTTCATGAGGGCAAAATAGGAAATACAAATAATATATCTTTTTTACCTAAATTTATTTTTTAACATACAAAATCGTAGAGAAACTCTTTCCGCCATCACCATTGGATCGTGGGTGAGATTAGGTTAAGCTTTCCAAGCGTAAAAATAATTAAGTCAACGACAATTCATATTTTATTGAGAACAAATAGCACATTCAGTAAATCATCAATGAGAATTCGACAAGATATGTAACTTTTATTATCATTTTTTTAATGAGAACTAGCGATACATTTTGGCCCTTCACCTGTGATTCGGTGGCTTCGGAGAGTCAAAGGATAAACCCACGAAAAAATAACTGGTTTATTTGAGGTAGTGCAATTTATGAGGAGAAGGAAAGAGAAGATAATTGTGACTGGTATTTTGCTTTGGTCTTGAGCTTGTCGTTATCGATATGCTCCAGGTGATGAAGCAAAGAGAAGATAATTATGACTGGTCTTTTGCTTTGAAAACCAAACCAACCTTTTTTGTTTAACCTCTTGATTTCTTTTATTTTCGTTTTTATTGTATTTCCTATTTTGCCTTCATGAATTTTTTTTTTTTTAATAAAATGATGGTTTTATTAAGAGGTTAGAATTCAACTTACAAAAAAAAAAAAAAAAAAAAANGCTTAAAAAAAAAAAAAAAAAAAAAAAGACCAGAGTGCAAATCACAAAAAAGGATACACTTTACTGCCTTCGAAGTGTGATGTTTCCTATCTTCTTTCTTATCCTGGCAAATCGTGTTGAAATAATTCTCTGAGTAAAAAAATAAAGCGTAAATACCAATTTGGTCAAACCCTTTGACTCTCTAAAATCCTTCTATCAAATTTCATTGATACTTAATAGATATATTCGACTACATAATTATTTTATACGTGAAGCAAAATTTGAAAATCCACCCCCC